TTAACATAAAGATAAAAAGCATGTTGTTGCAAAAGTGATATTTAAAATATCTTTTATAATTACATATATATGTAATTACATATTTACCTTTCCATAATCTTGAAATACGCTTAATGAAGAACAACTCCCTATACTGCTTGTATCCTCAGACTCACTACACAATTTATTTGAGATTTCCTAAATCAAATAATATTCACAAATAAATAATTCAATAAAGTAAATAAAACAAAATATTAAATTTATAACATTAAAAAAGAATGCTCAATTCAATTTAATATTGTAAAAGTTTCTTTCAAAACAAATATAAAAATTATTTAATTATTTCATTATAACATGATACAAATACATGTTTCATTAATTCTATAATACATAAAAACTGTAATATGATATTAAGAATTTCAAAACAATTCTAATTGTGATAAACTTGAATTTTAATAAACTTGAAAAACCAAATGTAAATATTAAAAGTTTTTTATTAATTTTAATACAAGTACATAGATTTATATATAATTTTATTTTTTTTAATTTTATAATTTTATTTTTATTTACATATAATTTTACAATAAAAATCGTTAATACTATTAATCTTTACTAATATTTTATAAACTTNAAGAAAACTACTACTTATAATTGTAAAATAATATAAAAAACACTTTTACAGTCAAAAAAATGATAAGGTTCAAAAAATTAGAAGAAAAGTTCAGTAAAGAAAAGAATTCTATATTAATTCTACTAAAGATAAAATCATAAAATGCAACAATTATCTTACCAAAACTGAACTTTCATTTTNATTTTGAAACAATTTTTTTCGATTTTGTATAAAACGAAAACGCTTTCCGATTATAAGAATTATCTCTTTGATCATAGATTCAGGCATATGTATAAATGCTTCCTCATCAATTTGTTCATCTAAACAAATACAAATACTACATAATTATTCTGTCTTTATATTAATAAAAATCTAATAATAACCTTTAAATCTCTCAATATATTCAATATATAGAAAAGACCCCAAACTTCTAATGTTTCTTCAATAAATTTAGACATTGTACTTTTAAAAATATTAAAATAATATATTTAACCTGTAAAAATATATAAAAATGTTAAAGAAATCAATAAAAAAATTAAAATTCTTATATTTTCATATAAAATACCATATAAAGATTGAATAAATGAATAAAAGTCTTCTAACATATTTTTTATAGCTATAAAAATGTTTTTCTTGAAAATCTATTTAATATAACAATTTTATTTGAGTCATAGCAAAATATTAAATTATACGTGTAAATTACATACAAGCAATAATATAGTTTTTTTTATTTTCATTTCTTCTATAATTATTCACTAAAAAGCAAAAATGTTTTTTTTTTATTACTGCTTTGAATGACACTTTATTCCGTGATCACAAGATATTTTATTTCACGTAATTTAGTTTTGTTCAAAGAAGTAGCCGAAAATTCTAGTCTTTCATTGAAAAATTATAGAAGAAATTAACCTCTTGTCGTACAGTAACGAGTAAAATTTGTGGTTATAATTCCGGGCCATGAATATCACGATTCAGACTGGTGATATAGATTATCAAATATGAAAAACAAACAAAATATCATTTTGGCTCTATTCGCAAACATCAGTTTCCACTTTAGTCCGCGATTTGCTAAACTAATTTGTACGGCAAGATAATAATAAACAAAAATATATTATTGCTTGTATGTAATTTACATATATAATTTTATATTTTGCTATTGCATCACATGAAATTCAGTCAGGTTACATTGAATAGATTTTTAGGTAAACTACTTTCATGTAATTATAAAAGAATGTTGTTATATATATATATATATATATATATATATATATGTTATAAAATCAAGCTTCTCTTTTTGTTATATAATTACTTACTTATAAATTCTTCTAGACGATAAAATCGGCGAATTCTCAATTGTTATCCGGCAAAATGTAACACTCAACACTCAACTGCTGCTCGATTTCAACTGTTGCCCGACCAGTGTTGCAAACTCTGGCCGGCTAGCACCGAGAGCACCGAAGTGTTGGGAGCCACTGGAAGCACGCACACAAGCGAAAACCGTCGTCAGTGTGCGTGACGCTCGGCACGTCGGCTCGTAGAAAAGTGCAGACGTATTATGTTCCGTCTGCTTTCCACTTCAAGCCGGCTCAATAAGATGACAGACGAGGCATGTTCACGTTACGTTGCGCGCTTTTTGCGTATTATGACAACGTAAAACACTTTTCCAGATTAATAATCTTGGAAACAATACATGATATTATTGATATAATAAAATAATCTTAGAGTATACTTTATTTCATATACTTATGTGACTGTAATTAATTAATTAAAAACAAGATATATATAAGGCTTTACGAGCCATTTTCAGGATGTTTGAGTAGAAACTGTACGTGTACAGGGTGAGTCATCTGAATCTATCACCTCCAATAACTCGTTTGTGTGGCCAAGAATCAAAAAAAGTTTCATATAAAAGTTGTAGGGTTTCGAGGGGGAACCAAAATGGCGTACCTTTCAACTTTTGATT